ACTAAAGCAACAAAATATTTACATGATAAATGATTGTAAAATGTGGGGTTTGCCGATTTCAGATTTGAGAAGATCTGGTCCATGAGAATGTTAGAAAATATGAGATGCTTCACTGGTTTATTCTACTGATTGCTTGAAACAACGATAATGGTGTGGTATATAAATCATCTCATTCTTTCAGGTACGGATTAAAAGATGAGCTCTTGGTTGAAAAATCGGAATCATTTCAAGATGGCGCCTGTGTACCTTTCCTTTTCCTCTCCCTCCTGTTCCTGTCTCCTGTGCAGGTTCTGCTGGCCAGGCCAATCCAAGCAGGGAGTTTGAGGCTGCAAACGCCTTTAATGGCAGAAAACAGCCCAGCCAGGGAGGCGGAAATAGTGAGTAGACTCATGTGGCTTTACGAATCCTGATGCTAAGGTTCTCTCCTCTCAGGGCTGCTTTCCACAAGATTTCTTTGCTGAGGTTAGGGTTGATCCCTTCCTTTCCCTTCATGAAGTCATGGCATTGTGAAAAATTCTAAGAGCCTGGAAATATATAGCTGTTTGCTCTCACAAGTGTTGGTATTTAATTGTTCCATATGAAGTAGACACAATTACCTCTGGTTTTTTGTTTTTTTTTCAGGTTGAGGCTCAGGACGATGGGAATTATTCAAGGTACTATCTCTAATGAGTAGAAAAGCTGGGACTCAGAGCCATTTTGATCCTCAGCAGTGCTTTGCCCTACAACTCATATATAATAGGTGTGAACTAAAATAAAATTTTAAGGCTCACCCCCCCACCGGCTGACTAAACGGACCCCCTCCTGGCCAAAGGAATACCCTAAAACTAAATTGCCTGCCAGGAGGAAGGAGGTCAGACATGCCTTATCATGCCCCCCTCCCTTCTTGATGACATCCTTTATAACCCACTAACAGGCCTAAGGCTATGCAAGACAAACCAGCAGGTCCTCAATTTACACAACAAATCTATGTCCAGTGGCTTATCTCTGATAAAGAGCTCCTTATGTTGAAACATTCCAAGCCTTTACACAAAGCTTCATGTCTTTAACCAATTATAGGCCAAAGAATCTTTTAACCCACCTATAATCTGTAAGCCCCCGCTTCGAGATGGCCAACCTTTTCGGGCCAAACCAATGTATGCCTCCCACATATTGATTTATGACTTCACCTGTAACCCCTGTCTCCCTAAAATGTATAAAACCAAACTGTAGCCCAACCTCTGAGAGTCCACTGCTCAAGGCCTCTTAGGCGTAGCTCTGGGTCATGGTCCTCAAATTTGGCTCAGAGTAAATCTCTTTAAAATTACTTTACAGAGTTTGGCCTTTTTTTCCGTTGACATAGGGTATATTCTGGGGCCTTGTTTTATTTGTCCATTTTTTAAATCCCTGGTGTCTAGCATCATGCCTGGCACTTAGTATTTATTAAATGTCTGTTGAATAGGCCAGGTGTGATGGCTCACACCTGTAATCCTAGCACTCTGGGAGGCCGAGGTGGGTGGATTGTTTGAGCTCAGGAGTTCGAAACCAGCCTGAGCAAGAGCGAGACCCCGTCTCTACTAAAAAGAGAAAGAAATTAATCAGACAACTATAAAAATATATAGAAAAAATTAGCCAGGCATGGTGGCGCATGCCTGTAGTCCCAGCTACTTGGGAGGCTGAGGCAGTAGGATCGCTTGAGCCCAGGAGTGTGAGGTTGCTGTGAGCTAGGCTGACGCCACGGCACTCACTCTAGCCCGGGCAACAGAGCGAGACTCTGTCTCAAAAAAAAAAAAAATGTCCATTGAATAAAAAGCTAGGATTTATTATTAAACATCATCATCTCTGAGGAAAGATGATGTCTAGAAAGTTGTGGGAATTTTGATGCCTTACAAAGTTCAGGGAACAGTCTGGCAGGACACACAGCAAACTCCCTCTCAGTTTAGGAGAGCTGTCCTCAGAATAGGGCTGGCTCTTCAAGGCACAAGAGGACAATTTAATTAAAGAAAAAAACCCCTATCACTGTGCTGAAGAAGATCGAATATCTTAAAAATAAATTCCCTCAAAGTTGTTCTTGGGGGCTGCCAGCTTTCTGATTTCCTTATTTTGTACGTGTGCACGTTGCACGAAGTTGCCCTCGAGAAGGCTCAGGAAAGGCTAAAAGGTAGCTAATGGGTAAAGTCTGATTAGCCTACAGGGAATAATGTCTTTTTAATAAATAACACCTTCAGCTCTAGCAACATAAGCCAAGGTGATAAGGGCAAACAGAATCTGAAGAAGGGCTGTTATTAAAAGAAAAAAAAATATATTACCAAACAGCAAAAAATCAGCAGAGAAACCTGCATAATCCACCCCCCCCAGCATCTTTGTTAAAAGGAGGTATTTTGAAAAAAAGAATGACGTAACTACTGGACTAATACTTTTAATGATTGCTTTCCTTTAATCTTAGATAAGTGGACTAAAGTGGATAAAGGGCTCCATCTTGGACAACTTGGTTAGCTTTTTCTTCTGGGCTGAGCAGGGGAGAGCCAAGAGCAGGAAATTCAACACCATTCACAAAGCTTTCTTGTCTTACTCTCAGAGAACTGTTCACATCATTCAAGAGGCTGCCTGTAAAAAGACACACAAAATACCAGTTACAAAATATCATATAGTACACATTTTGTAAGACTTTATAAGCTTTAGTCATTTAAGGACAATTTCTAGATTTCTTCCTTTTTGTCTTATGTATTGCCATTTTAAACATCATTTCACATTTCCTCTTTCATATCACTTATTTTATGACTT